CAATCTACCGGGGCTGTCTTGACGGTTTTTTTGATATTTTGCCGAGGAAACTTAATGTGAATTTTCAAGTAATATTTATTCTCTGTTAAAAATAGATTGGTCTTTCGAGGGAACCGATTTAACTGCCAAATCGTTTTTTGAATGAGACCTAGTAGATTATAGGTTATTGACTATGTTAATTCCGAATATGACCATGGCAGTTGCCTATAGGTCTGCAGAGCTCCGGTTTCTAGGAAACCAGTTTTTCAGAAACTCTAAAAAGGAACCAAAATCTTTCCTAATGAGGCATAATTGTAGCCCGCACATTTCTGATTAAAATAAGACATCTCCCAGCTCTGCACGATCTTTCTTTGCAAAGTTAGAGAATTTACAAGAAAAGCCCTAAATTAATTTCTTCTTATTTCTGTGGCTTTTAGCTGACAATGAACATTTAGGCCTTCTCTTGTAAATTGTATAACTTTGCAAAGAAAGGTCGTGTAGAGCGGGGAGATGTCTTATTTTAATCAGAAATGTGCGGGCTGCAATTATGCCTCATTAGGAAAGGTTTGGGCTACTTTTTAGAGTTTTTGAAAAGATGATTTTCCAGAAACCGGATCTCTGGAGACTTACAGGCAACTGCTGTGGTCATATTCGGAATCAACATAGTCAATAACTTATAATCTACTAGGTCTGATTCCAAAAACGCTTCGATAGTTAAATCGGTTTCCTCGTTTGTTTGAAAATTGAAAATCTTTGATCTATTTTCTAGTTTTCATTTTTAATTTCAAGAGAGACGAATATACACCTTCAATAAAGGAACAAAGGTATAGTAGAATTTTTTATTTGCCCTGTAAGAAAAGCTTTTCTTTCCACCTTGCTATATGTTATAAAGATATGACGAAAATGGTATTATATACAATGATCCATACCCATTAACAAATCCGGTATATATTTTGATAAATTTATATTTAAATAGAAAATAATTAAATTTTATACATTATCATCAAACATTACAAACAAAATCTTCCTATCATTGTGTATGTCCATCCATCCTGTTTTGTAACACAACAATGATAATATAATATATATGTATTCATTTTTTAGTTTTAAATTCCAGAATTAAACGAGAGGTTGCACGAAAACTTGTAGATTATTATCATTTGGATTGTTCTAGATATTCAAATTAATCTTTGTTCTCGACTAGTAACTAACTTTGTGGTAATTTAACTAGTTCACCATGACTATATCTTTTATTATGTTCAATTGATCTATCTTTGCATCTTTCGCAAAATCTACACGGAATTAAAAAGTCCGGTAGACCAATATGTCGCCATTGACTACGATGAATTGGATCAATAATTTGTGTACAATTTTGACCAGATGTACATTGTTTAATATCATTTTTTATATGTGTATATCTTAAAGTATGTTCTTTATCATTGATACGATTACATAATTCGGAAAAACGGCATGGATGTGAATAACGTGAATTATGTGAATCTGATTGAGAATATTGAATTAAACAATTAATAGAATCTTTACATGGTATCAAACGTTGTTGCTTATTAGAATTACCATCATCATTACTATTCAATACAGAATCATTGAATGATGTTAAATATTTCTCTCTATCAGAATCATCATTATCTTTGTTACCTAATGCCAAATCTTTCACAAGAGGAAGTATATCAGTACATTTATTTTCACTATTATCATGAGTACTTGTAGAATTAGAATCTATGTTTGATTTCTTAGTGTTACTATTGCCACAATTCATGCTATTATTATTACCATATTCAATGATATATGACGTATGAAATTCATCAATTTGTTGATGTTTTATCATTACATTTTGAAATGCAACTATTTGTGACCCAGCAGCAAGATGAATATATTCTAAGGAGGTTAAATCTATATCTGATTTACTAAATGTACAATTCAATGGTATATGATTATAAATACTATTTGCTCCACAATGTATTAATGAAACTTCACCGGTATTACGTTTAATTTTTAAACAATAACTAATAAAATCATCTGTATTACATCCTTGATGAAATAAATTTGTTCCAACTTTAAATTCACCTTTTTCTACAACTATTTCATGAACTGATGGTGGATTATTATTAATATAACTCCAAGGATTAGGATAATGACAATCATCTGTATCATGATCAATTGGTATTGGTGCAACATAACAAGTTAAACATTGTAGATTTTGTTGTGTTTTCTTTGTGTCAATACGATCATTTGTTAATATAATCATAAAATCTCCTTTTAAAGCTTTAAAATAAATATATATACAATCATCACCATTTTTTTTTCTATTTATTTTTGATAAATATTTTGAAATTGTTTCCGGAATTGTAACTTGTGTCTTAAATGATGTAGGTGGAATACTGATTGTAATAGAGTATAATGTTGATAATATACGAGCATCTGATAAACTAAATATACGACTTTTAATTCGATTTAATAATTGTTCAATTATATAATTCTGATAGTTTATTCTTGAAGGATCTGGTAGTTGAATTGAACCTAAACCTTGTGTTAATGATACTATATTTTCTGTAATAGTTAATGAATTTCTGAATAATTGTTTTGTATTGTGTTGTATCTGTGGTGATAATGATTCAAATATATTCTTTGGCATATATATATAATCAATATAATTTAATGGAATTAATTGTGGTAAATGTGCTTCAAATATATGATGTGAATCTACAGAAGTCCATCGATTAATTATATCTGTTAATTCTACTTGTATTTGTTTCTTTTCTAATCCAGTAGTAGCCATTAATTCTAATGCAGCTGAATATTCATATCCTTCTATTGAACAATGTAATTTAGATGAATGAAATTGTTTCCATCTTTCTTCTTGTATACCAGGATCTTTTACCCATGGACGAAATTTATATGTATTACCACTATTAAATGTTGTTGCTGCTTGAACAGTAAAATTTGCATCAGGATGTAACATTAATTCATGTTTAAATACAATAACTATATCACCATAATATTGTCCTGTATGCGGACCAAGTATACTAAATACATGTTGATGTGTTCCAAGATCTTGATCAGGTTTATAGCCAATTCCTAATGGACTTTTATGTAATGTAATTGATGCATGAGCTATGTCAATTGTACGTGAACGAATTATATCTATTTCGTTTGGTTTAAATAAATTTAAAAAATTTATTGCTTGTGGTTTACTATTAAGTTCATTATCCATATCATTTATTTCTTCATCAGTTAGTTGAATAAGTTTATCTTTTTTCAAATTAATATATTCTTTTGATATAATATCAAAAATATAATCTTTAATCAATTTTAGTTCACTTGGAATTCGATGAGCAACAATTCTTCGAATATCATTATGTTCATTAGCAGCATCTGCAACAAAATTTGGATCTTTTAAATGATTCATATATGAACGACTCATAACATGTCCATGAACAATTATTGATTCAAATATTTCATGTGTACAACGATGTACAGGTTGTAATGAACGAATCCAATTTAATATGTCCGATTTTATTTCTATTTTTGTTTTCTTATAATAAGTTTTGATATTATTTGTTATCTCATTCTGATTAGAAGTAAAATTAATTTTTCTGTTAAGTGCAAAAGATTTTGCAACTCCTAATGGTTCTTCAAATGATCTATGTCTATATTTGATACAATGACCTTCAATATTACGATCTTTACATTTATTTGTTGAATAATCACATAGTAAACGAATATCTCTTATATTAGGATGTGAAAAACTATTTAAATGATCATCTTCTATCAATTTATTGCATTTATCTAAATCTGAACACATTTTTCTTGGAATATGAATAGTATTTCTCATATGTTCTTCACTCTTTGTTTCAGTACAATTTCTTCCCCATGAACAAACATGTGAATATTTTAAATAATGTATTTTTAATTTTTCATACATAGTTTTATTTATTTCTTGATTAAGATTATGTTCATTATATTGTAAAAATTTTATATATTGTTTACATGAATATGGTGTAAATGGACATGGTTGATTAAATGGATGTTCATATTTTGTAAGATGATTTGTATCATTAAAATAAATACAATTACCACGATAGTCACAAGCCATTTTACAATGTCTAAATGATTTACAATGTTGTTCAGATTTTTTCAAATATTGATTACAATTAAGACCATCTTCACATATTGGGACATGACGATACGTTAAAAGATGACTGTTTTCTGTTGTAGAACAATGTCCACCAGCTGAACAAAATTCAGGATGATAATATTCATCTAAATGTTGTTGATCATTTTTATTAGCTAATTCACATTTACCACCATGTTTACATTCAAATCGATGAACAAAAAACTGTTCATGTACATAATCTGATAAATTATTAATTTCAATATTATTTCTACTATCCGTTTGTACTTGACTTTTATTGTGAGTACATGAATTTCCATACGGACAAATTGATGGATGTAAGAATTCTCTACAATGTTTATAATTCAATATATGTTCACATTTTGCAGCATATGGACATGGAGGAATATCACCTATTTTAAAACTTTTTATAGCTAATTTATTATCATTTATATTACTAATTTTATATGGTCCAATCATCATTCTATTTTTTAATATTGATGATGGTTTTACTATTTCACCATCTAAAATACGTTTAAATGGTATATAATTTCCTTCTGGATTCGTTAATTTTTTTGTATTATGATCATCAATAATAGCAAATATAATTTCTTTAAAAAATCCTGCATATTGTTCAATAACATTTTTAAATATTAATGCTATATGTTCTAGTGGATTATGAAATGCACCACAACCTAATGCCGATAATACTAATGAATCATGACCATTTTTATAAGCAATTGCAAATAAATTTTCTATTTTTTTTCTTGTACCAACAGCATATTTATCAATTAATTGTTGATGATTATTAGTAGTTTTTGGATTACGATAAGCAGGTAAAGCTATTGCTGACATATTATACAATGGTTCAGATAATAATTCATATCCTTTATCTTCAGTATCACGAAATATTGTAATACCATTTGTATAAATTGCACCAAATTCATCAATTGGATACATTGTATTTGACATACCTTCTAATTTACCATTTGAATCACATTTAGATCGTTTATGTTGTATATATGGTATATTTTGATCTAATGAATAATCTAAACTAATATAATAATTTGTACGACGAAAAATATTTTCTTCTTGTGCACCA